TGTCTACAGTGTTACTGATGGGGTTTCATTTGCCAGTGAGTTTCCCGCACACAAACACGCACTCCCTGGCAATGAGCTGAAGACCTTCCATTCCATCAGATGAGCCATGCGTCACTTCCTCCTCCCAGCTGCTGATGCCTTCTCCACCTGGATGGCTTTATAACACGTCTCCCCTGCCTCAGCTCTACATCTCACTCTTGCAGACAGCATGCTGTTGCTTCCCTTACTCGTTGTGACTTCACTTTGGTCCCGTAAGTGCCGTTTCCTTTCTCCTCTCCCTCCTGTGCGTGGAGAACACAGTCCCTGCTCCAGAGCTTGGTGGCTCCTGGCCTACGTGCAGTTTCTCCCTGTTCCCTTGCAGGTGGGGATGCACAGGCTGCACCGGTGCAAAGCCCAGCAGAGCGCAGGCTGGTGGAGGGCAGCCCAGTCACCATGACGTGCCAGCTGAGCAGTGGAACCACTGTGCACTGGTACAGGCAGCTTCCCGGGGAGCCACCCAAGAGGATACTGTACATGTCTGGATCCTCACCTACCTTCGATGACAACAAGGACGGATTTAAATTTCGAGTGCAGAAAAATCCTTCCAGCAGTGTTCTGACAATAGAGAAAGCAACCCGGAGGGATACCGGTACTTATCTCTGTGCATATTGGTATTACCAAGGCTACACAGCATTAGATGGGCAAAGATAAGCTGTACAAAAAGGCATCTGGCACTCTGAACCTCAAGCTCTCAACTCCTGCCAGATGCAGATACTTTTTATGCCACCTTTCTCTGGTGATTTTCTGCAGCAGGAGAGCAAAAGCAGAAGATTAACATGGCAAATGCTAAATGAATTAACTAACTCTCAGAATACTTCTGTACTTACACATAGCAGTAACATGCAGAAACTGAACAGTCTTAGTCACTTAAGGATAAAAACCGGTGACTTTGCAGATATGGCAAAGAACTGACTGTACTCAGAGCACTCAGCTGACAGTGGGCACAGACTGTGTGCCTGTGGACAACGAGTAGTTGGAAATTTCCCTTCTTCATTGAAAGCTGTACAGCAAACAGAGAAACATATCTCTGTCTGCTGCAGGCTCTCACTTGAACGGAGGCACACAAGCAAAGCAATGAGAGAAAGCTACATGGTCTTCCAGATCCTCCTTCATTCTTTCTCTGCTGTCATTTCAGGTACTACCAACTCCTTCTGCAGCACCGACGGCTCAGTTTCATTGTGTCAAGTTCTCACCTGATGCATCCAGACAGAACTTCACTCTTCTTCCGTGGGCCTGCTCTCCAAGGAGCCCTTTGAGCACAGTGCACGGAGTTCTAAGAATTAGTCTATGGTCAAAGCCTCTTTTCACCATGCAGAGCAAAGCTGGCATCTGTGTGTCAGTTAGCTCCAGAACTGAGTACTGCATTTCATTAGAAGCCTGAGGCACAACATCCTGTGAGGTAGTGCACTGGAGAGACTGGACCTTCAGCCACACAGAGATTGCCATAGTGGTGGTTTTGCAAGGCTCTGAACGCTGCTCGTGCTGAATGTGCCCTCGTGCTTTCAGTCCTTGCAGGGAGCAGCGGTTCTGTGCATTTCTCTGAAAAGCAGGCAGGACCCCCATCTTCTCAACAGCCTCAGCATTCTCTGCTCTTGCTCCTTTCCCAGGCTGCTGCAGCTTCTTGACAAGCACAGCCCCGTGTTGTTATGCACAGAACAAACACTGCTGGTGACTTCTCCTCCCTCTCAGTGTGTCCCCATCTGGGGCCCCACATCTCTCAGTCTCCACAGCAGCAGAGCAGGAGCAGCAGACATGCTGCTGCTGGCAGCTCTGATGGTTGCAACTGCCTGGTCCTGTAAGTGCTTCAGCTTCTTTTTCCTCACGGGCAACCATGGATTGTGCCCTCACAGATGTCTTCCCAACTAGATTGCTGCCAATGAATAACAGTTTCTCCTCTTCTGCTTTTCTTTTTCTTCTGCTTTTTTTTTCATTTTTTTTTTTCTTTTTTTTCTTTCTCTAATTCTAGATGGAAATGCACAGGAAACTCCCATACAGAGCCCTGTATCCATCACCATGTCACAAGGAAATGCAGATCTGAAGTGTCATTTTAAGGACTTCTCTGGAAATTTTGATAGCACCGTCATACACTGGTATCAACAGAAGGAGAATAAACCTCCAGAGAGGCTACTCTTCTCTGCAGAAGGGAAAACTACAGTTGAGAGTGGCTTTCAAGGGAACAAGTACATGGTTGTTGAAGATTCTAGTCAGAAACTTTATATTCTTACCATAAGAAATGTAATTCCAAATGATGCTGCTACTTACTACTGTGCATACTGGGACCCTCACAGTGGCAGATGGCAAACAATCACCACAACAAATACTTCCTCAGCAGCTGAACCACAGATCATTTGGAATAAAGCAGATCAGCTCCCATGGTGTGGATGAGCTGCTCAGCCAGAAGCAGTTCCACCTCATTCTCTCTGAGGATTTGGATATCTTCTTCTCTCAAATGAAGGATTCTGAAGCTATCTGCAAAGTCCATGCTGACTGTTTCTTCACTGACAAAACTATTTGGTGATAGTCTTAACCTGCAAAGCCATGTGGTTTGAAAGGAATCTGCCCAGTACGTGTCTCTTCTTGCAACAGATAGCACAAAGTTTCACTTGTAATTATGCCTTCTGGGAGACTTGCTGTGCTAGAAAGCTACAGGACAAAACTGAGATGGTAGCTGTCATTTAGACATGAGTTGTGAGATCCCATCACTACCAGGTGCCAAGCGCATTCAACCAGAATCAGGTACCAGGCAGATTTCTGCTCTGTGGGCAGAAGAATAGCCATGGACTGATACACAGTTCATCTGTCCTGGTAGATGTTGGCCACAGGTTTTAGTCTCATGTTCTCTCCATACGGTCCCTAACACAAATGTGGTTGTAACTGACGGAGGTTGCCCACACAGCAGATGCAAGGAGTGACTGTGTGCGTGCATCTCTCTCCCTTCTCCTTCAAGTCTCTTCCATCCTTCTCTCCTCCTTGCTCATGCGCTGAAGCCACCTACCTGCCTGTCCTGACATGAAATGAAACGGCTTTTGCCATTGCTGTTTGCTAGGAAGAGAGGCAGTTGTCCAATCCTCTCAGCAATACGAGCATGACACTACATTGCCATGTGTCTTTCTGCTTTTGTTTTACAGTCTTTCTCTCCATGAAGTGTTTGCATTTCTTCTGAGGCTCAGAACTGAAATCCTGTGGCTGTGCATTTCCTTCCACACTCCCAATCAAAGGCAGGGCACACGCTCACGGTGCTGCTGCCCGTTGCTGAACGCTGCAGATGGCAGCATGGGCAGAGAGCATTTCATTGTGCTGGAGATGGGTGAGCATGCTGGGGCAGTTGAAGGGGGCCCCACATAGAAAAGGACATACCTCCCATCCACTCTGAGTGATGGCACACACTCAATGACCACCAGGGTGTCCTCTCATCTTGCTCCTGATGCCCAGCTGCTCTTGCTCTCAGTCCTTTCTCAGTTGCTCTTATGCAAAATTGATGTCCTTGGATTGAGCAATAGTTGTTGCATTTCTCTGAAAAGGAGATGTGATGATAAACCTTTAACCAACCTGAAGGAACATTTGCAGGTCTTACTCAATATCAGGCTGATGTGTTATTACAGCCCTGTATTGTTATGCATAGAAAATACATCACTGTAGACTTCTCCTCCCACTCAGTGCAGCCTCCACCCAAGGCCCCTTTCATTCTCCTCTGAGTCTCAACAGCAGCTGAGTGGGAGCACCAAACATGCTGATGCTGGCAGCTCTTATGGCCACAACTGTGTGGTTTTGTAAGTCCTTTTTCTTTTGTTTTCTTCTTAGGGTGCCCTTTGCTGCACTAACTACTTTCCTAATCCCTGAATTTCAGCTAATAACATCAGTTACACATTTTATCTCTTGCAGACGGATTTGCACAGGAAATTCCTATACAGAGTCCAATATCCATCACCAGGTTCCAGAAAAGCGCACGTATGTTCTGTGAAATGAAGAAATTACCAGGACGTTTTGATAGCACCGTCATACACTGGTATCAACAAAAGGAGAATAAACCTCCAGAGAGGCTACTCTTCTTTGCAGAAGGGAAAACTACAGTTGAAAGTGGCTTTCAAAGGAACAAGTACATGGTTGATAAAGTTTCTAGTCGGAATCTGTGTATTCTTACAATAAACAATGTAAGTCCAGATGATGCTGCTACTTACTACTGTGCCTACTGGGACCCTCACTGTGATAGACGCTCAGAGAGCATCAAGCCACAAAACTCCTTCAACCACTCAACTTCAGCTTCAGTCTGAACCACAGGATTGTTACTGCCTCATTCCCCAGCCTTCTCACTCCATCTGCTATCAGCTGCTACCCAGAGCAAACACTGCACAGATGCAGAGAATCACAAACAGTAAAGGCATGGAAGGGACCTCTGCAGATCATCCAGTCCATCCTCCCTGCTAAGGCAGATTCCTTAGAGCAGGTGACACAGGAAAGTGTCCAAGAAGGTCCTGCACGTCACTAGAGGGCATTCCTCACCCTCTCTGGGCAGCCAGTTCCTTTGCTTTGTCATCCTCAAAGAAAAGAAGTTGAGATGGAACCACCTGTGTTTCAGTTTGTAACACATCTTTCCCCTTGTCCTGTTGCTGGGCAACACCCAAAGGAGCCTGGCCCATCCATTGGACTCCTGCCCTTCAGACCTTTACAAGCGTTGATAAGATCCCTTCTCAGTCTCCTCCAGGCAGAACAGTCCCAGGTCTTTCAGCCTTTCCTCATAAGGCAGAGGCTCCATTCTCCTAATCACCTCTGTGGCCCACCGCTGGATTCTCCAGAAGTTCCCTGCTTTTCTGGAACCGAGAAGCCCAGAAGAGAAGGTAGCACTCCAGAGGGCAGAGCAGAAAGCCAGGATCACCTCCCTCAACCTGCTGGCCACGCTCTTTTCAACCAACCCCAGGATCCCATTGGCCTTCTGGGCCACAGGGCCACACTTGGCCGTGCGGGCTCATGGTCAACCTGCTGTCCTGCAGGACCCGGGGCTCCTTCTCCATGGAGCTCCTTTCCAGCATGTCAATCACAAACCCATCCTGATGCATGTGGTTGGTGCCCGCTCCTTCTGAAGCCGGTGCCACTGTCAGCACTCCAGTCTTCAAACACACATCCCCCCTTTCTAAGGGAAAACTCTTCACCGCCTTAGGGATTAACACATCCCCAAAGGAGTCAGCTCCTCCTCCCATGCAACACAGCTCCTTGTACTGGCGACAATTTCCTGTTCTCAGTCTCAACAGCAGCCGAGAAGGACAAGCAACCATGCTGCTGCTGGCAGCCCTTGTGGCCACAACCACTTGGTCTTGTTCGTACTGTTCCTTAAGCTTACTTTTCCTCACAGGAACCCGTGGATGAGCTAAAAGGTATTATCCCAAATCCACAACCAACACTAAACAACATATTTTCTCCTCTCTTTTTTTTTTTTTTTTTTCCATTTTTTCGTAGGTGGGCTGGTGTGGGAAATTCCCATACAGAGCCCTGTATCCATCACCAAGTCACGAGGAAGCATACGCCTGCAATGCCATTTTAAGGAGTTCTCTGGACATTTTGATAAGACTGCCATACACTGGTATCAACAGAAGGAGAATAAAACTCTGGTGAGGATCATCTACGTCACATCAGGAGCAACTGTAGTAGATGAGAGCTTCCAAAGGCACAGATACATGATTCAAACTATTTCTAGACAGAAACTTTGCATTCTTACCATAAGAAATGTACTTCTAGATGACGCTGCCAACTACTATTGTGCCTACTGGGTCCCACACTACAGCAGCAGCCCAACAATCACCTCGACCAAAACTCCTCCAGCAGCTCAGCCACAAACCATTTGAAAGATCCCAGCTCACTTCCCCAGCATGGAGGAGTCTCCTGAACACGTGGGGGATTTCCTCACTGCTGACCAGCTCCTGCAGATGTCAGCTTCCAGAAGATAGGGATTTCAAGCAAGCCAAGGGTGCCAAGGCTGAAGCAAACAGTGGACGTCTAAAACATAACCCACCCTCAGCACTTCAGGTGCTCTTCCTTTTTCCTCAGGCATAGCCATGAACTGTTTGTAGTGGTTCAGCTTGGATACTAGGGAAAATTTCTTCTCAGCAGGAGTGCAGATGTGTTGGAACAGGCTGCTCAGGGAAGCGGTGGAGTCCCCATCCCTGGAAGCTTTCAACAAGAGGGTGGATGTGGCACTTAGGGACGTGGTTTATCAACAGGGATGACAGTTGCACTAGATGATCATAACAGTCTTTTCCAACCTTCACGATTCTATGATTGCTTCAGTATAAAGCAGTGCTTTTTCATGCTCCTGTTCCTGGTGATGACTGAAGATTTTCCGAGCCTTTTGCTTGAGAAGAAGACAAAGAGGTCTTTAGCTTGAAGGGTCCTAAGATTTTCAGTGAAGAAAAAAAGTCTTAATTTGATTCAGAAGATAGCAACTGAGGGAGAAGGAAGATTTGCTATTCATTCCTCTGGAGACCCGGAGATGGGTATTTTTCTCCTTTTTGGAGCTGTGTCAGTCTCTTTCGCCATCCTTCTTGCTTTCACTTTGTGTTTCACTCCCAGTCATCACAGGAACAACACATCTCAATCACTACAGAGGTGCGGATGCTGTGATGCCAAAGCGAGTCCCAACAAAAAGAGCTTTCCTCCTCTAAGAGCACTTTTCCATATTTATGCCTTTAAGCAATGCGTGCCTCAATGCTTCTGATTCAGTGTTCATGTTGACCCTCATGGCTACGAAAACAACCCACAGAAGTCTTTCGCTATCATCAAGGCTTTCTTCAGTATTTTCCTTTACTGTGGTACAACTGAGACCCTGCACACTTTCATCTTTGAACTGCACCTCGTTGAAGAATGAGAGCCTGGTGGCTGAACAAGTGACACAATTTCATGTATGTGTTAGGTGTCCAAACTGGCCATGGCTATTGCTGAATTTTGTCCTGCTAATACTTGCAAGCCAAAGACAGACAGAGGAACTGGACAATCTTTCTGCAGCACACAGTGCTTTGCTTTCTGTGTTTCTGACTATGAGACCTCCCATCAACACAATGCTGTGGACACAATCCAGTCCCTGCAAGAACAGCCAAGGTGGCAATGGCATCCTGCACCGCGTGACTCGGGACACAGCCATGGAAAAACTGGTCAGCTTCTTTCTCTGCCTATGTTACTGCTGGTATTGCATCACATTTTCCGTAAAAATAACAGAATGTCTTACGTTGGAAAAGCAACAGAAGGTCATCAAGTCCACCCATCCATCTAGCACTACTAATTCCAGTACTAGTCCGTGTCCCTAATGGCCTTTAACTCCCTCCAGAGATGGGGACACCACCATTTATTTCACTGGGCAGCCTGTTCAACAATCCTGCCCAGAAGAATTTAGAGTAGATGGCTGTTTCTCTTACATCTGCTTACACCATCCACAGTCTGGTTCCTCTCTGCAGACACAAAGCTTTTGTACTTTCTTAGTCCACATTGGTTTGTAGTCATTAGGGCACACAGTGTCCCAGAAGTATTCAGATTTTTCTTTGACATGTCAAGCTAAGCATGCAGGCTGCCTCACAGTACCTGGGTTTTCTCAGGTGTTATCCTGTGCTGTGCTGAAGGGAACAAGCGTGCAAAGGAACAGCCTTCATCATCCTCTGCTGACACAGGAAAAGATGAGCCATAGCATCAGAGACTTTCACAGGAAAGGGGAGCTTTGCTGAAAAGTCTTGATGGCTAACTGTAATCAGGGGCAGAGAAAGGCAGAGCTCCTGAAGTTGCTCAGTGGTACATAGATTTGGGTTTTCTGGGCAAAGCAGTCAGCAAGAGCAAGTTGCAGTTTCATCACGTGCTCGTTTTACAAAGCAAAGATTTAGGGACAAAAAATTGCTCTTTGTGTCAGAAGGTGGATATTGGTCAGACCTGGAATAGCAAGAACTCCAGGTTTCCCCTGTGTTTGTCTGCACCTGCCAGACAGAGCAGGAAGGAAAACCTGAACGTGCACTGCAGCAGTCCAACTTCCTGCAAGCTCCTGGTGCCTGGATGCCCTGAAGCAGCACTGAGCAGGATCAAGGCCAGCACAGCACTCCTGCTCATCTTGCACTTCTTTGGACAGCCATAAATTGAACTTACATGTTTTCCCCCTTCTCACCACATGCATTTGTTTCCAACAGCACCAGGTTTTCACTACCAACTGTTTGGCCATTAAGGCAGGAAAAAGCAGCAAGAGCTTATGAAAATCTAATGGTTATGGAAGGCAAGCCCTTCATCAGAAATCGATCAGCTGTTGTCCTAATGCTCTTCTGGCAAGCCCTTTTCTCACGCTTTGTGTTAGGAACGTAACTCTTGCTGCTGGAGGGAGCTAGACCTCATTCTTGGGACTCCCCTGGGACTTGCAGACACCGTGAGCACTCAGTGCTTTGAGAGTACTCTGCACTGAGCTGGATGAAGCCACCCAAAGTCTGCTTTTCCTTGAGAAAACTCATTCCTAACAGGTGAGCGGTGCCACCTGTTTTGGTGGCTGTGAGATGCATGGAGCTAAGTTAAGCCACTCCGAGACTTGATGACTTCATCCCACATAAGAGGGAAACCTCAATACAGTTTTGTTTGTGTAGGAACAAACAACCCAGAACTGTTGGTAAAATGTGGTTGATCTGTTGAGTCTCCTAGCAACTCTGTCTTTTATGCAGAGGAAGCTGTGAGGAAGCAGAGACAAGCCAGGCTGAAAGAAAAGTGCCCAGGTGCAGATTGTCCCCAAGAATTTGAGCGTGCACAGAATCCCACAGAGTTGAAAAGAAAGACTTGGCATGAGAAACTGCAATCAGATTAGAGGCAGAAATGGGGAGTGTCTTGGATAAATTCATAGTGCTGGGAAAATAATGGCTTGAGTAGCAGGGTCACCAACCAGCAGCCCAGGCTGCCCAGAGCCACATCCAGCCTGGCCTTGAAAACCTCCACAGGTGGGGCATCCACAGCCTCCTTGGCCATCAGCATTTGTACAGTCAGCAAATAAACAATGAACAGACTGGCATGGTTAACTTAGTAATTTACAGGTCATACAACCAGAAAGAAGGGGAAAATCAGAAATAAATGAAAATGCTCACACGTGTCCCAGGCTCACAGAAAAATGCCAAAAAGAGCAATCTCCAGAAAAAGGTCGCTCCTCACCAGCAGTCAGCCCTCAAATGGGGTCTAGGAGAGGTGCACCAAGGCTCAACCCCTTCTGCTCACACAGCTGAACCGCCTTCACCTGGGCTCCTGTGCCTCACTCAGTGCTTGCCTCAGGTGATCAATCAGAGATTCAGGCAGTGACTCAACATTTCCCATACAGTGTTGCACTTTGGTTTTATAGAATCACAGAATCATAGAATGGCCTGGGATGAAAAGGACCACAATGTCCATCCAGTTTCAAATCCCCTGCTGTGTGCAGGTCACCAACCAGCAGCCCAGGCTGCCCAGAGCCGCATCCAGCCTGGCCTTGAATGCCTGCAGGGATGGGGCATCCACAGCCTCCTTGGGCAACCTGTGCCAGTGCCTCACCACCCTCTGGCTGAAAAG